TATTTCCAGGCTGTCTCTGTTCCACTGACCTATTGTCTTTTCTTTTGCTAATACCACACTTGATTATTACAGGAAATCTTAAAGATGGGTCCATCAATTTTGTTATTCTCCTTCAAAATTATGCAAATGGCAATATTATGTTGGTTATTCTAGGTCTCTTACATTTTTGTATAAAATTTAGAATCAGTTTGTCCATATCTATAAAATAACTTGGCAGAATTTTGGGTGAGATTGCATTGAATCTATAGATTGAGAAGAGTGGGCATCTGGACAGTATTGAATCATTCTATCCAGGTACATTGAATATCTCTCATTTAGGTCTTCTTTTATGGGGCACCTGGGTGTCTCAGTTAGTTAAGCATCTGCCTTCTACTCAGGTCATGACCTCAGGGTTCTGGGGTGAGCTTCCTGCTCTGCAGGAGTCTGTTTCTCCCTCTGCCCCTCCTCCCACTCATTCTCTTAATCTCTCTCTCAAATAAATAAAAATCTTTAAAAAATAGATCTTCTTTTATTACAGTGTTGTTTCCTTCATACAGATTTTCATATATTTTGTCAGATTTATACCCTACATATTTCACTTTTTTGTTGTTAATATAAGTGGCATTGTGTTTTGAATTTCAAATTCCAGTTGTTTGTTGCTGGTATATAAGAGAGCAATTGACTTATGTATGTTAATGTAGTATCCCCCAACATTATTATAGTTGCTTTCTTGTGCCAGGAATTTCTTCATTGATTCATTGGAATTTTTAATATAGACAATTATGTGATCTGTGAACAAAAACAGGTGTTTTTTTTTTTCCATTTCAATTTGTATACCTTTTATTTCTTTTTCTTATTGAATTAGCTATGACTTCCAATATGATGTTGAATAGGAAGGGTGAAGGGACATCTTTGCTTTGTTCCTTATCTTAGCAGGAAAGCATACAGTTTCTCACCAATAAATATGATAGGTGTGTTTATTGTAGATATCCTTTGTCAAATTGAGGAAGTTTGCCTCTATTCCTAGTTTGTCAGAGTTTTTATCATGAATTGGTATTGAATTTTATCAAATGCTTTTTCTGCATTGTTGATATGATCATATGATTTTTCTTCTTTAGCCTGTTGTAATTTGATAATGGCCTTGCATACCTGGAATGAATCCCACTTGGTCATGGTATATAATTCCTTTTATTTATTTTTTGTTGTTGTTGTTTTTTAAAGATTTTATTTATTTATTTGAGAGACAGAGAATGAGAGAGACAGCATGAGGGGGAGGAGGGTCAGAGGGAGAAACAGACTCCCCGCCGAGCAGGGAGCCTGATGTGGGACTCGATCCCGGGACTCCAGGATCATGACCTGAGCCGAAGGCAGTCACTTAACCAACTGAGCCCCCCAGGCGCCCTATAATTCCTTTTATACATTGTTGAATTTGACTTGCTAATATTTTGTTGAGGATTTTTGCATTTATGTTCATGAGAGATAATCATCTGTAATTTTCCTTTCTTGTAGTGTCTCTGTCTGGTTTTGGTATTAGGATAATGCTGGACTCATAGAATGTGTTAGGAAGTGTTCCCTTTGCTTCTGTTTTCTGGAATAGATTGCAGAGAATGGATATGATTTTCTCCTGAAATGTTTGGTAGTGTTAACCACTGAGCCAATCGAAGCTCGGTGCTTTCTTTTTTGAAAGGTTAATTATTGATTCCATTTCTTTAATAGGTCTATTCAGATTTTCTATATCTGCTTGTATGAATTTTGTCGGGTTGTGTCTTTCAGGCATTTGAACCATTTCATATAGGCTATCAAATTTGTAGGCATAGGGTTTTTCTTAATATTTGTTAATTATCCTTTTAGTGCCCATGGAATCAGTGGTGATAGCCCCTCTTTTCTGATATTAGTCATTTGTGTCTTCCCTCTCTCTCTTTTTCCTTCTTAGTTTCCCTGGTCAGAAGCTTACTGATTTTATTGATCTTTTCAAAGAACTAGCTTTTAATTTCTTTGATTTTCTCAGTTGGTTTCCTCTTTCAATTTCATTGATTTCTGTTTTAAATTTTATCATTTCTTTTCTTATGCTTACTTTTTTTTTTTTTTTAAGGTTTTATTTATTTATTTGACAGAGAGAGCGCAAGTAGGCAGAGAGGCAGGCAGAGGGAGAGGGAGAAGCAGGCTCTCTACTGAGCAGGGAGCCCGATGCGGGGCTCGATCCCAGGACCCCGGGATCATGACCTGAGCCAAAGGAAGCCGCTTAACCAACGGAGCCACCCAGGTGCCCCACTTCTGCTTACTTTTGCTTTATTTTCCTAGTTTCTTAAGATGGAAGTCTAGATTATTGATTTCAGGTCTTGCTTGTTTTCATATATTTATTCAGTGCTATAAATTTTCCTCTAAGCACTGTTGTCTGTGCATTTCATGAATTTTGATAAGCTGTATTTTCATTTTCCCTTAGGTCAAAATATTTTTAAATTTTTCTTGAGACTTCTTATTTGATCCATTTGTTACTAAGAAGTGTATTGTTGAATTTCCAAGTTCTGGGCTTTTCAGCTATCCTTCTGTTACTGATTTCTAATTTAATTCCATTGGGGTCTGAGAACATGCTTTGTATGATTTCTATTATTTTACAGTTGTTAAGGTGTGTTTTATGGTCCATAACATGTTCTATGTTGGTAAATGTTCCATATGAGCTTGAGAAGAGTGTGTATTTGCTATTGTTGGATGAAGTGTTCTAGAAATGTCAGATAGGTCCAGGTGATTACAAGTGTTGTTCAGTTTCTTAATGGACTTAATTATTTTTCTGTCTGCTGAATATGTCAGTTACTGACAGAGAGGTGTTCAATTCTCCAACTATAATAGTGGATTTCTCTTAGTTCTTGTAGTGCTTTCAGGTTTTACCTTACATATTTTGATACTCTGTTGTTAGGCATATATACTTTAGGGATTGTTATATCTTCATAGAGAATTGACCACTTTATCATCATGTAATCCTCCTCTTTATCCCTGATAATTTTCCTTGCTCTTAATTCAGCTTTTTCTGAAATTAATATACCTGCTCAGTTTTCATATAATTAATGTTAGTTATATGTTATATCTTTCTCCATTACTTTGCTTTTAACCTATCTGTGTCTTTATATTTAAAATGTTTTTTTATAGACAACATACAGTTGGATCTTATTTTTTTAATCTATGTTTATAGTCTCTGACTTTTACCTTGTATATTTAGACCATTGACATTTAATATAGTGATTGATATCTAACATATTTGTTAATGTTTTCTATTTCTTGCCCTTGTTCTTTCTTTTTTTGTATTACATTCTTTTTCTGCCTTCTCTGGTTTTAATTGAGCATCTTATATGATTACATTTTCTTTCCTCTCAGCATATCAATTATACCTCTTTTTTACTATTTTTTGATTTCCCTAGAGTTTGCAGTGAGTATTTACAACTAATCTAAGTCCACTTTAAATAACACTATTCTACTAAATAAAAATTCCCATGAGTTTAGGAGACAAAGTCATGCTAAAAGGAAGGGAACTGCTTCAAATACCCAGCCAACCCTCATCGCCATTTAAGTTTGTAGATGATAGAAGGATAAAGAAGTAAACTCAAATCTTCCCAAAAGTACACCTGAATTTCCTATAGGCTTTCATAGTTGAGGAGATAGAGACTTACCAGGACCACCTCTAAGAAAGAGAAAAACTAGAAGTGGACAAACCAGATATGGATTAGTAAAACTGCAATCCAGGCTTGACCCACTTCAATTTCTGATTGGATTGACTTGATCATCCTCTCACCCTAACTGACTAAAGGAGGAAAGAAAAAAATATCCACGAAGCTATACCCTTAAGATTTGCCTACTTTAGTGGAAATAAAAGTGTATATATAATGAATTTTGCTTAAAAATTACATACAGTTGACCCTTGAACAACACTGGGATAGGGGCACTGACCGCCCCCCCCCCGCCGCCATGCAGTTGAAAATCCATGTGTATCTTGTGACTCTCCAAGAAGTCAACTACAAATAACGTACTGTTGACCAGAAGCCTTACTAATAACATAAGTAGTCAATTAACACATATTTTATATGTTATATATATTACATACTGTATTCTTACATTAAAGTAAGCTAAAGTAACATGTTAAGAAAATCATAAGGAGGAGAAATTACTTTTATAGTACTGTACTACAAAAAAATATTAGTTGACCTGCACACTTCAAACCCATGTTGTTCAAGTGTCACCTGTATAAATTTTATGAATTTTATAAGTTTTAGATCCTGTTATAAAACATATTTTTTCATGTTTGAACTGTGACCCTATATATGTATGCATGTATATATATACTCTTTAGTCAGGAGAAAATTGTGCAAAAGTCCATGTGGTCTTTCAGGCCTTACAGACTGAATGACTTAGGATAACATGTATTTTCTCATCTAACTTAATATTATCAGGAGGTAAGATTAAACTGTCTTCTGATTGAGGACCCAAAATTGTTTTCTCTACTTTGCATTTGGTGCAGGGCACTAAAATTTAGAAGACCAATTATAGACAATTCTTACAAAATTTAAACATGTATTTTTGACTTAATAAAAGCTAGTTAGGATAGGTCATCTGGTGTTAAACTCAAATTAGCCAAGCATAATTTTTTCTCTGAATTTACCTGTAAAATAATACTCAATAGTATTATTAATTAAACTTATTAAATTTAATAAATTAAATAATGTATTTGAGGACTTATATAAAATTTCTGTTTTGTGAAAAACATATCAGTTGGTTTTTATACTTATATGTTGCATAGAATGCAAACATAGTTTAGTATCATTTTTCCAGTTACCATGAAAACTGTTTTACTTATTGGATGCCCATAAGAAATTAAATCTTAAAATATTTTTAATTTAAAAATAATTATTTGAGGTTTATTTATTTGACCTATTTCATAAATAATCAATATTCAGCAACTATTTTAACATGATAGAGTGAGAAGTAGTGAATTGATATCTACAGTGTTGAATTGTAATACATTTTTTTTATAGGCAGAGCTTCTAGATGCTGCTGCTGGCGTTCATGTACGATTCAGATTAGGTGGTGTAAGTATGGATGAATTCTTATTTGGTAGTTTTAAAGCACATTTATGTGAAATTTAAAAGATGTAAGTTTTTAAAATGTAAACCTTTTTTTGTAATTAGATTACAATGGTCCTTTGAACTTCTCCATATACAGGTTAAATTTCCACCTGATATATACTATAAAATTTTCACTCATAGACATATTGAAGATCTGTGTGCTAATAGCCCTAGAGATTATACAAAACTTCCAGCAAAATATACATCTCATATTAAAAGTGATGATCTTCAGGAAGAGGATCATAGTGGCTGGTATCGTCGTGTAGAGAACAATGGCTGGAGGCCTGTCTCTGATACAGTAAGAAAAGAGAAATATTAATAACTTTGAATCTTATATATTTAGAAACTCATTTGTCTTCTTGAAAATTAATTTTAAAATAATAAATCTTGGTGATTTAACTGATAAAAAGTGATGACATTAACTACTCAAGGGTTACTAATAATATTTCAAGATCAGCAATATATCCTTTTTTTTCCTCTACTTCTACTTTTAGTAATGAGCTTTGATCTGGGTCATCTTTAGATACTGTCTGGTACTCAGGAGTTTAGCATCTTTATAGTGAAGCAAATTTGAAAATGTTGTTGACTCTATATTGATTAATCCTTGGACTAGAGGTGGGAATTCTTGAGAAAAATATGACATTTTCTCTTATAGAGCTTGTCACAGCAGAGACTGGGGGGAAATCATTTGGATTGTCATGGTGTTTGGAACTTCAACATGTCTTCATTAATCGAATGGAATTATTTTAAATATACATAGTTCTTAAAACATATATATGATTTAGGGACTTTTCCATAGACATCCATGTTTAATGTCCTTTTTGTGGAGATAATCTCTACCTAAGGATGTTTGTAAGCTTACATTTTATAGGTTAATATAATCAGGTTCTATATAGCTCTAGATGTCTATATGGGCTCATGTCTTCATTCAGGTCCTCAATCTGTGGTAGGCAGATTATAGAATTGGTATATTAAGTATACTAAGTATGAAAATGAAAATAATCAAGGTGTAAATTCATACATTCATTCAACAAATCTTATTGCATACCAACCATATGTCAGGCATTGTACTAAATGCTAGGGATACAATGGTAGATAAAATAGTCCCTCCCCTCAAGTATCTTTCCTTTTAATTTGTGAGAGAGTCAAAAGTAAAGAATATTTCAGCATAGTGCAGTAAATACGTGCTTTAAGAGGGACAAATACATAGGGTTGCGGGGGATAGCAAACTCTCCTCCTTGTTCTTTAATGTGTATGTGGTGAAGGAGAGGGAATGAATTCGAAGTAGGAAAACCAGGAAACCAGTTAGGATAGCATGTCACACAGGGAAACCACAAACTCTGGGGATGTAATAATGATGAGACTTTGTTCTTGAAGGGTACCTGTACTTCTTGAGATTTAGAGTCTTCAAAAGTCAACAGCACTAAGAGTAGGTAAGGTCTGTTCTTATGAAAAACAAAAACAGTACTGGAGTATGTCTATTCATTTATCCATTCAACAAATAGTTCTTAAGTACCTCAGTATACTAGCACTTTGTTAGTCTTTCTGTGACATGTGCCTCCAAAAGCTCAATGTGCCACTCACCCATGACATAATCAGAAATACCTTAAAAGGGGTGTATTCGCTCCTCTATTTCTACCTTGGCATATTCCCACTGAACTTACAGAAATTCTTGTCTGTAGCCAGATAACCTCACAATCAGTATTTCAACATTTTGTATATTCATTTTTCATTTCTCAATAGTTTTGGGTGTCTACTGAAAATGTAGAGGTGGGAGAAGAAAAAGAAATCAAATTCCATTTCTCTAAACTGAAGAGAAGGCAAGATATGGAAAAGAAAAGAAAAATTAGAAAGATAGAATGGATGAGGAAAATGTAAGTTGATGAAATAGACTTACTAAATATATACTATTTTAAGTCTTTTTAAAAAATGCTATCACTATTAAAATAACTATATGTTATTTTAAAAAGAAATGTAAGATTACAGTTATGTTTTTAAAAATATATAGAAAGCAAACATTTAACAAATGCCTGCTATGCGTGAGATACTATTAATCTCTAGGATATAAATGGGGAAAGACATTTTGTCTTTGACCCCAAGGAAATTACAGTCTATTGGAATATCAGATATGAAAATAAGCATTTACTCTTATATATCAGATAACTTTTATTTGGCCCTCCAGATCCACTCTGTACCCTTCTCAACCCTTCTTTCTGCCCTAAGACTCTGACCTGTATGGATTACACTAAAAGACATTCTGGACCTGTCTAACAAATGTTAAAAGCAAGCCAAAACATCAAATTGTTTACAAGTTTACTTCACTCCATATGCAGAACAAATTCCCCCCAAATATTTAAAGTAATACAAAAAAATCCAGTATCCCAAATTATATAAAATTCACAATGTCTACCATATAACAATAAATAACCAGGCATGCAAAGAAACAGGAAAATAGATCTGATATGAGAAGAAAAATTAATAAGTAGCAACAGACCCATCAAAAATATCTTTTGAAAAGGAAGGCAAAAGAATAACTTTGCAGACAAATAAAAGCTGAGTTCTCTTTTCATGGAAGACCAGTACTGCAAGAAATTTTTCTGGCAGAAGAAAAATGCTTCTAGGTAGAAATCTGGATCTATATAAGGAGTGAAGAACTCCAAAAGTGGTAATTATGTAAGTAAATATAAAGGACTTTTATTCTTACTAAATCTCTTTAAAGGGTAGCTAACTAACTGTTGAACTATACACTTAAAAATAGGTAAGACGATAAATTTTAAGTTACATGTTTTTTATTACAATTTTGAAAAGATAGGTATTAAAACTGTAAAGGAATGAGTTAATATTGATATTGCCAATCCAGTTCTACCTACATTTTTGATTCCACAATTATATTCCTTTTCTCTTATATTGAAAATCTTCATTTCAAATAAAATATAATTGCTTATTTTTCTGACATTACAAATAAATTGTTCCAAAATAACAAAATAATATCAATATGTATGCAATTACTGAATAAAATTCAAAAAAAATTTTTAAGTTAATTTACTATTTAAAGCAGAAACACTGACAGTGTATTGTGACATTTATAAACTCAAAACAGTACAAAAGTAAAATGTATGATGATGATACCACAAAGATTGGGAGAGGTGAAATGCAAGTATACCACTAGAAGGTCCTTACTCTACATATAAAGTGGTATGATATGCTTAAAGGTAGACTGTGATTATTAAAAACCATAAAACAACCATAAAATCAACAAGAACAAGAACAAAGATGTATATATAATAACGTAATGATGGATATAAAATAGCATCATAAAGAAACATCAAAAGAAGGGTGAAAAAAGAGGAAAGGAAACAAAGAACAGAGAGAATAGAAAGTGGATAGCATGATAAAGACTAAAATCAATCATATCAATAATAATATTAAATGTTAAGTAGTCTGAACACCCCAAATAAAGGCAGAGATTGACAGACTGGATAAGAAGGCCATACATAAGGACATAACAATCCTAAATACTTATTTACCTAGTAACAAAGCTTTGAAATACATGAAAATAAAATTAGTAGTACTGAAAGGAGAAGTAGACAAAACCAGAATTATAATCAGAGATTTCAAAACCCTTTTATTAGTAATTGATAGAACAAGTGGGCAGTAAATTAGTAAAGATAGAGCTGAGACTTGAGCAAAATTATCAACCAGCTTGACATAATTGGCATTTATAGAGCACTGCACCCAACAGAGAAAACACATTCTTTTCAAGTGCATGTGAAACATCCACCAAGATACATTATATTCTGGGTCATAAAACAAACATCCACAAATTTGAAAGAATTAAAATCATACAAAGAAACTTCTCTGATCACAATGGAATTAAAAAGTATTTAAAAATAGAATAGAATTAATAACAGAAAAATTTCTGGAAAACTTCCAAATATTTGGGTATTAAATAGCATACCTCTGTATAACCCATGAGTCAAAGAAGAAGTCACAAAGGAAATTTGACAATATCTTTGATTTAATGAAAATGAAAATACAACATAAAAAATTGAGGATGCAGCTAAAGCAGTACTTACAGAGAAATTTATAGCATAAATACTGATATTTAAAAAGAAAGATCTCAAATCAGTGATCTAAGCTTCCAACATAGAATCAATAAAAGAAGAGCAAATTAAACCCAAAGCAAGTAAAAGGAAGGAAATGATAACAGTAGAAATCAGTAATATTGCAAATAGAAAACCATCAGAGAAAATGAATGAAATCAAAACTTGTTGCTTTTGAAAAGAGCAATACAATTTATAAACCTCTAAATAAAATTTTAAAGAGAATGCACGCAATTCAGAAATGTCAGAAATAAAAAGCAAGATATTACTACCAATCCTACAGGCCTTAAGATGATATATTATGAATCATTTAATGCCCACAAATTGGAAGAATTAGGTGAAAGAACAATTCATTGTAAGACATAAACCAAAACTCACTAAAAAACAAATAAAAATAACATAAATAGGTCTATCTATTAAATTGAATTTTTAAATTCAATTAAATTTGAGTTATTATTAAATTGTAAGTTGAGTTTATAAAAATCCCACAAAGAAAACTCCAGTCTCAGGTGGATTTCCTAGTGAATTCTAGTTAGCATTTAAGAAAGACAATACAAATTCTACACAATATTTCCAGAAATAGGAGGGAATATGTCCCAACAATATCTATAAAGTATTACCCAATATAAAAATCACTCGGGGCTTATTAAAAAAAGATATTACAAGAAAATAACAACCAGTATCTCTGAGGAACATATATACGGGTTAGTAAATAACATCATAAACAAATGGAGTTTATCCAAGGAGTACAGGGTTGGCTTAACATTTGGAAATCAATCAATGCAATTTACCATACTCACAGACTTAGAAAGAACGTTGGATATAACCATCTCAATAGATGCAGAAACTTAAAGGTGAAAGACTGAACGCTTTCTTCCTAAGATCAGGAACATGGCAAGGATGTCTGCTCTTACCACTTCTTTACTGGAGAGGTCCTAGTGAGTGCAATAAGGCAAGAAAGAGGGAGGAGGGAGACACTGAGATTGGAAAGGAAGATTTCAAAGAGTCTTTATTCACAGTTGACATGATTGACTAGGTACACAATCCTAAGGAATTTACAAACTTACTGGAACTACTAAGTGAGTTTATCAAGATTGTGAGATACAGAAACCAACCGTACTGCCATTATTTCAGCAAGAAACAATGGGAAATTTTTAAAAATACGTTTACAGTAACATCAGAAAAAATGAAATACCTAAGCATAAACTGAAGAAAAAATTCTGTATGACCTATCCACTAAAAACTGCAAAACATTGCTAAGAGAACTTAAAAAAGACCTGAATAAATGATGAGATATAAGGTGGTCTTAGATCAGAAGACTCCATATTGTTAAGATGTCCATTGTCTCCAAATTGATCTGTACATTCAGTTCAGTCACAAAAGTTAGAGTAGGATTTTTGGGGAAATTGACAAGTTAATTTGAAAATTTTTATGGAAATGCATAGGAACTAGATTAGCCAAAACAATTTTGCAAACACAAAATTTGGAGAACTTACATTATTTGATTCCAAGACTTACTATAATGCTACTATACTCAAGACTTTGTGTTATTAGGATAAAGACAGACATAGGTTAATGGAACAGAATCAAGAGTTGAGTAAAATAGATATACACGTATACTGATGAGTTTTAACACAGGTGCCAAGGCAATATAATTGGAAAACGATATTCTTTTCAACAAATTGGATATTCAAATGCAGAAAAATGAACCTTTACCCTTATCTCTCACACCATATATGTAAAGTTTTATATCTCAAAAGAGATCACAGATCTAAATATAAATGCTAAAACCATAAAATACCTATAAGTAAGCAAAGGAGACAATCTTAGTGACCTTGGGTTCTGGCAAAAATTTCTTAAATAGGACACAGGAGCATGATACATGAAAAAGGTGTCAAATTGCACTTCATCAAAGTTAAAAGCTTTTGCTCTCTGAAAGACAGTGTTTAAAAAAATAAAAAGACAAGCTACATGTATTTAACTAACTGGAATTTAAATAAAATCCTGAGGAAAAAAAGACAAGCCACAGACAGGAAGAAAACATTAGCAAAAAATATATATAATTAAAGTCTTGTATCTAGAATATTAAAAACCCTCAAAACTTAATGGTAAGACAACCTCATTTTAAATGAGCAAAAGATTTGAACATTCTATCCTTGAAGATACATGGATAGCAAATGAGCACAAATAAAGTAATGACTGTCATCGTTAGTCATCAGGGAAGTGCAAACTAAAACTTTAATGAGTTACCACTATATATATAGAATGGTTCAGTCTGCCTAATTGTTGGCACAGATACAGAGTGAATGCAAACTGCTACATCTACTTTGGGAACCAGTTTGACAGTTTTCTTACTAATTAATATACACCCACTATTCATCCCAGACCTTCCACTCCTAGATATGTACTCAAGAGAATAAGAACCTATGTCCACAGAATGATTGTATATATGAGTGTTCATAGCAGCTTTCTTTGTAATAGCCAAAACCCAGAAACAACCCAAATGTCACTGGATAAACAAATTGTGATTATTTATACAAAGAAATACTACTCAGCAATATGAAGGAATGAACTACTGATACACATAGCAACATGGATGAATGTCAAAATAACAACGCTGAATGAAGCCAGTCAAGAAAGAGTTCATACTGGGGCGCCTGGGTGGCTCAGTCGTTAAGCGTCTGCCTTTGGCTCAGGTCATGATCCCAGGGTCCTGAGACCGAGCCCCGCATTAGGCTCCCTGCTCGGCGGGAAGCCTGCTTCTCCCTCTC